CATATCTTTTCAATGAAGCCCTTAAAACGCGGTCCCTTGTATGATGTTACATTTTTTGGTCACGACTTGTGAACCATCCTGTATAAAAATAGCTAATTTAAAAAAGAAATTTAAAAATCTTTCTTCAAGAAACTGACTTTGTTACTTGTGTTAGTTTATTCTGCATTCATGTATACTAAGTGACATATAAATCCGAAACCACAGTTTAAATGGTTTTATTTTAATAAAATTTTGTATAGTACTTAATGAAGCATAATAAGTAAATGATAAAAATTTCAAAATGATTGCACTGCTTTAAAGCCTTTGACCTTTAATAATGTATGGATGTACCCTGATGTGCTACGCATTCTCCACCGCGCCTAGGCATGCTCTGATCGGGTGGTCAATGTCCTCCTGTGGTATCTCATTCCAGGCAACCACCAACTCCTCTCGAAGTGCTTCTAGAGTCTGAGAGGACGTTGCAAATTGAGCAATCTCCTACCCATCATATCCCACACGTGCTCAATGGGGATAAGTCGGGAGATCTTGGTGGCCATGGTAACAATGTGACATCATTATGTTGAAAGAAGTCTATTGTGACTCTTGCAACATGTGGTCGGGCATTATCTCGTTGGAAAGTTGGATCTGCCAGGGTGTCAAGATAGGGTAAAAGATGGTGGTTCTAGAACTTCGTGGATATAACGCTGCGCGTTCATGTTACCTCTGATGAAGATTAAATGTGACCTGGAACCATAAGCTATAGCACCCAAACCATAGCTCCAATAGTGTGATGAACATGTCTTTCAACAAAAAACTGTGGATTCTCCTTTCATCACGTCGCCTTCTAACCCTGGCACGACCATCGTGCATGCCTAAACAAAATCGAGACTCGTCACTAAAGACAATACTGTTCCATTCCTGATCCCAGAGTGACCGTTGTCTGCACCACTCAAGGCGATTACGTCGGTGTTCTCGAGTTAAAGGGAGGACCCAGTGTGGCCGGTATGAAAACAATCCAAAACTTCTTATTCGTCGGTAAACACTTCGCATGCCAATATTTCTTCCGTCTTCTGCAACCATTCATTTGCAATGGACCTGGTAGTGGAGAAACGGTCCCTTAAGGCCAATAATCTTAGGCGGCGATCTTCACGGTCTGTTGTTCTACGGCGGCGTCCAGTGCTCCTTGCTCTTTGCGTACGGCCTTCTCGAAGCCATGCCTGACAACACCTAACCACAGTGTCTACACTTCTTTGCACTCTAACTGCAATTGCCCGAAAGGAAGTCCAGCTTCCCGAAGTCCACTATACGGCCCCTAATCAACTCGCTAAGTTGACGAAATCGTACAGGTCTCCGTACTCTAGGCATCGTAACCGATCGTAAAAGGATGTCAAGAACCAAAATCCGCCACGGTTGATTCGTTACTGCGGCTGAAATATTCATTTTTAAGAGCGTTAGTGAATTAAAAAAAAGCAGTATAAACACCGAAATGTCCAACTGATAAGGCTGAAAATTTTTTCACTTGTTATTTACAGTAAGATAAATACATATCACACAACTTTATTAAAATAAAACCATTTAAACTGGGTGCTCGGATTTATATGTCAGTATAAATGTTATTATCCTACGATCTTGATCATGAAAATTTATTCCGCGAGTGTAAAGTTTGTCTAAAGCCGCTTCGACCACGTAGTGACCTGACTATTCTTGATACGCATACTGTGGAACCAGATTAGAAACGTGGATGACGTTTTTTATTTATTATTTAATTAGTCTCCGACACACCTAACCTAAAAAATGTTATTTTTGACGTGGGCGTTGCGTAGCGAGGCCAACTTGATGTTCTAAAACCAGGTGCATTATCTCTCCACTTGTCGCATTTATATGCATGTATTCATTCAAAACACATCTTACGCCTTATATGGAAACCGACAGATTTCAAATAACATTCATAATTAGGTAGACGTAATTCCAGTATAATCGCTTCGTGGATATTATTACTTTTATCTCTTCGGGGTATGCGAGCTTTGGATTTTATTGACTGAAAGGAAGGACAAAACTCGGTTGTAGTGCTAGGCCTTTGAAATTGGACACAAAAATTTCATATAGGGTGGCGCAAAATAAACGATTAGTGATGAATCCGATTTTTCTATCAAATACCTGATACCAATAAATTAATGTAACACTCTGTTAGACGTTTTAAACGATTGGTTTGATCAACTATTTGCACCACTGCCAGTAGAGGATAATGTGAGGTTTTTGGGGATTTTATCCGTATATGCGAGGTCTGTAAATTAAGTGATGACACTGGCAACGTAGCGTCCGATCCGGCAACACTGGAGGCGCAGGTCTTGGAGGGGAGACAGAGGAACATGGTGACTTTCAGTGGGTAGTGCGCTGCGCAGGATGTGAGGTTATGTTTGCTGAATCTGACCATCAGAAAGTTTCTGAAACCAAAGATTTATTTTCAGTTGTGACGGGTAGACTAAAATTTCAGTGATCAGTGATGGAATATTTGTCAAAAGCAACTGTTATCCAAAACAAGCCGTGTGCGGAGTGAGGAATATTTTTATAAGCATGCAACAGTTAATTTTGAATCCCACTATCAAGACGAATTGGTCGTCAAATAAATCCATAAAAAAAATAAAAAAAGAAGAAAATATTGAAAAAAAAAAAGCAGATCAGTATAAAGTAATATATATATATATATATATATATTATATATATATATATATATATATATATAATTGATATGATATAGTTTATTCAACTGCCTTTGGTCGGTTGAACAAATTCTTACATAAAATTCTGAAAATCACATCATCTGAAGTGATTTGGCAACGTTTGGCACACGCCCACAATTCGTTCCATCTTTCAACACAGACATTGACATCCTTCGGCCTTCTGTCAAAAGGGTGTCATCTCACTCATTATTCCATGACCACTAATTTGTGCAATCATCAAGTGGCTTCACGATGTAATGCTCTAATGTTTTTTAAATAATTTTTAATCTGTTTTTAACTTGTTCTTGTCATATTTTATATAATTTTGACCATTGTACAATCTATCCAGCTCTCACCATGTTACTGGACGTTTCCCTCATCCTATACGTAAACAACAATTAGCAACATCCTCACATACTACTGTAAGTTGAGTCAATTTAAATTCATTTTACACTTTTGTTGCTACTGTTATCATTGTAATTGCAGCTCCTGATGATGATGGCAAAGTCCATTGAAAGCTAGAGAGAATTAAAAAAAGTATAAAGAGTCCTCTTTGCTTAAATTTTGTCGAAGTACCCAACAAAAGGCGGAAGCTTTAATTTTTCACCTATATATATGTAGATATGCATAAATAAAAAAAAATAATCTTATAAACAAAATAGAGAAAAGGAAAAAATAAGTAAAAAGTATTGGTTAAAAAAAACAAACTGAAAAAAAAGAGAAATATGTGTTCGCATACTCTATGTAACTATACTAAGTGACATATAAATCCGAACACCCAGTTTAAATGGTTTTATTTTAATAAAAGTTTGTGAATGTATTTATCTTACTGTAAATAACAAGTGAAAAAATGTTCAGTCTTATCAGTTGGACATTCCGGTTTTTATACTGCTTTGTTTTAATTCACTATCGCTCTAAAAATGAATATTTCAGCCGCAGTAAAGAATCAACGTTGGCGGATTTTGGTTGTTGACATCCTTTACGATCGGTTACGATGCCTAGAGTACGGAGACCTGTACGATTTCAGTGAGTTTGATAGGGGCCGTATAGCGGGACTTCGGGAAGCTGGACTTTCTTTTCGGGCATTGCAGTTAGAGTGCAAAGAAGTGTAGACACTGTGGTTAGGTGTTGTCAGGCATGGCTTCGAGAAGGCCGTACGCAAAGAGCAGGGGCACTGGACGCCGCCGTAGAACAACAGACCGTGAAGATCGCCGCCTAAGATTATTGGCCTTAAGGACCGTTTCTCCACTACCAGGTCCATTGCAATGAATGGTTTGCAGAACACGGAAGACCTATTGGCATGCGAAGTGTTTACCGACGAATGAGAAGTTTGGCTTGTTTTCATAGCGGCCACACTGGGTCCTCCCTTTAACTCGAGAACACCGACGTAATCGCCTTGAGTGGTGCAGACAACGGTCACTCTGGGATCAGGAATGGAACAGTATTGTCTTTAGTGACGAGTCTCGATTTTGTTTAGGCATGCACGATGGTCGTGTCAGGGTTAGAAGGCGACGTGGTGAAAGGAGGAATCCACAGTTTTTTGTTGAGAGACATGTTCATCACACTGTTGTAGTTATGGTTTGGGGTGCTATAGCTTATGGTTCCAGGTCACCTTAATCTTCATCAGAGGTAACATGAACGCGCAGCGTTATATCCACGAAGTTCTAGAACCCCATCTTTGACCCTATCTTGACACCAAAATCCGCCAACGTTGATTCTTACTGCGGCTGAAATATTCATTTTTAGAGCGTTAGTGAATAAAAAAAAAAGCAGTATAAAAACCGGAATGTCACCAACTGTTATTAAATAAAACCATTTAAACTGGGTGTTCGGATTCATATGTCACTTAGTATAAATAAAACCGCATGTGATGGATAAACAACTTTATTGACCTTTCAGTATCTGCAACAACCGTTATGAAATACAAAGTGAACAAAACGTTTTTGAGCAAAGTCAGGGAAAGCCGGGGCAATTTTCCGGAAAATACTTAGATATCTTGTTCATTCGAAAGCAATTTCCATAGCATCACCTTCATGTTTGAGTTGATCTATAACCTCCTTTGCTGCCTCTCCTTCCTGGCATTACCTTCGCAAACATCCCTGTATAAACTTGCCAGCGCCCTCCTTCGAGAATTGGCGTCCTTCAACTGGCTTTTTAACTTGTTTATCGTATCCCGAAGATTCTCGTTCCTTTCTGTCTGGGACAGTCTCACGATCGTTGAACTAAAATCGTTCAACACTTTGTTTGTTTCAAACTCAAAATTTCTGGCGATCTCGTAGTTGTACTGTTTCAGCTCTGTTTTCAAACGGTCCAGACGCGTCTCAATTCGTTTGTCGTCTTCGAAACAGTCTGATTTGAAAGCAGTTTCAATTTTCGTACAGCTTCGCTCAGAGACGCCTGGATACTTCCGGGCGAGCTTGATTTTGGAGAAGCTGTCGGCGGTTTTGTGCATTCTGCATCAGTAGTTGGTAGACTTTCTGCAGAATTGTGTAGACTCATCCCACTATCGATACTGCTAACAAGATCTTTCGAGCTGTGCTCTTCGTGCGGGGTTCTGTTGAAGTCTTCATTCTGGCTGACTGAAGTGCTGGTCGATTTTGACCTTCTAGTGGATATCCCTGATGAACCGTCGCCTTTACCTGGGTTGTTATAAATTGACGATACTTCTATCACCAGAGTTCTGGATGCTCTGTTGCTTGAACTAGTCTCATTCAGGGCACTACTTTTATTTGATGTCGCTCTTCTAATGGCACAGCGCTTACTGTTAAAGCATAGACTTGGGTCTTCTTGTTTTGGTGTAATTGATTGAGACCTTGAACTAGCGTTGTTCTTCGGTGAGCTGATATTTAATCTAGCCGATGTTCTTCTGATGATACAACGGTCAGACTGATAGATAATATCTCCATCTTCTGTTCGTTTGTTGGTGATTTTGTTGGGCAGGGTCTTCCTGAACCTCTCTGTAACAACAAAGTAGAACATTTTTCAGACAAAGCTTGACAACGTTCACTTTTTTATTTAGAGTGATTCGAGAAACCTGGAGAAGCAAAGTAGCAATTTTTCTATTTTGTTTAAGAAATTTTAAAACAAACTTCCACCAGATTAGCACCCAGTAACCTCACGCTAAGGGACATCAAAAACCGTGCTTTAAAAAATGTAGTTGGAACTTTTTTCTCGAATGCGGAGTCTTATCTAAAAAATGGCGTCTAGTAGATTAAGGGCCAATTTCACCACAACAGTCCGTTATTCTCCACCTATAGGGTAACAGACCGTCAGATACAGCGAATGAGCTTCAAGTTCCAATCAACAAATTTTAGCAACCAATAGCTATGAAATGTTGAAAACAAAATACATATACATATAATTCAGCCAAAATTTTAAAGAAATGTTTGATTTTTGAATTAAATTCATGTTTTAATTACTATTGTTGATTTTTTATTCATGTTTATATATTTTCTTCAATTGATATGTGATACTGGGTGTTTTTTCCTATAAACCTCTTGCAGATAGCCATTAAGCACCTACTTGATGACAGGCTCTACCAAAAGATATTGCTCGTTTCCAACATTCATTCATTTACTTGCCGTTCATCAGAACCATATGGCAGCTTAGATTGATATTCCCACAGAACCATTCAGGTTTTTGATATCCATACATCCATAAAGCTGAATATTTTTCGCTGTTCAGGAACTGAACAAACATCCACACTATATTCACAGCGATTAAGAATTCCCAAATATATGCCTTAAGCTACCAGCAAACCTAAAACCTGCAAAAAACAATTACAAATTTGTCATATTTTTCTTTTTTCACGATACACATTCTAGGTTATATTTATATTAGACAGTATTTGAATACAGCTGATTATTGCATTTCAAGAAGTGACACATGTGTGGGATCTGTCAACTGTTGGTACCAGTCACAAAACATATACTCTGAAGGTTTAATTCCATGCTATTCAATGACACACGGTGACTTGTGTGGTTGTCAGCGGCATTTTGTGAGGGTGCGACCAGGGTTGCCAGATTATGCTTTAATATCCCGTTTCACCTTCCTGGGTCCCAGTGGAGTAAGTTCTGCCAGCTGTTGAATATTCTCTACTATGCTTTATAAGAGTATTCGTGAAATTTTTCCCAAATCATTGCACAACACTTGAAAAAATGCAAATGAAAATTTAAAATTACGTATGTCCATGACGCCGCAAAATAGCTCCGTCGGTACCTTGGGTTATACATCTTGACAGTAGGTATGTTCGATACGATCCTATATTTTTTGTCCATGTCCATAGTAATTGCATTATGCATCGGGGAGGTGTAGGGATTAACACGTCTTACTCATATTATCTGTGTTTTAGGATGGAGAGGGCATCATGTTTTTATTGTTTTGAAGAAATTCATTAACCCATAAATTAATAAATGATTACTATTATAACGTAAAGGAAGATGAGGAATTGGATGGAATGTATTTTATATTCTATTTTCTTGCAAAATACAGACAAATCCACACTATTCAACAGGTATGTAATGATAACTTTCAGTATATTGAAGTTGGTAAATTCGAGAGTGCCATGCATTAACAAACGTCCAAATCTGCTGCCAAATTTAACAGCTAGAAAGTCGACCTATTATTTGCCGCATTCCCATTCGCTGAAGGTGATAACGGATTGCTAAATGAAAACCTATAACATATATCAAAATACAAGAAAGCTGTCCTGTTTTTTCTGTACAAAAGCATCATGTTGGAATCAAAAAGTGGTCTTGTTTATAATACAGTCGAATTTTCACGATTTTATTCAATAGAAATCACTAATATTCAGATACCTTTGACAGCTTCTGTCAAATCGCATTTCGATAAGGTATTTTCCCATTGGCCCATAATATTAATGTTGGTGAAATGGGCCCTAAAGGTTTCAAAGAAAAAGGATGAGTCAAATGAATTCAAAAAGCCTGATGCATTTAATTTATTTGAGAAAATGTAGTCCAAGAATAGCTCTTTCTAACTAGCCCAAGTTTGTTGAAATCGGCTCAGCTGTTTTAAAGATACAGGATCTTTTTTACGGAAACCTTTGAATGCCTCCCACCACTTTATTTTAGAGATACAGCAAAACCTGTCAAACAAGAAAAGATCACAGTATCCTCGACTTTAATGATCAGGTTTTTTTTTGTTGGGTTAATATAGCGAAATTTACAGAAAGATCACTTTTATACAATATAATGATATTTCAACGAGAAGGAGGGCGGAAGAATACATACTAAGTGAAGTTGGTCATTATCAACAATTTTGTAATCATTTCGTTGGTTTTAATGTTATGTTTATGTTGTCAGTTGTTGTTCTGCATTACCCTAATGTGTTTAATTTTTCCAATTAGATTAATAATAATTTTGCAATAGAACGGTTTTTATTTTTTTACCCAAAGATGGCGCATCAAAGGAAAACAATTCAAGACACATCTTTTCTTTTAAATTAAACGGGGAAATCGAAAATAATTTTTATTTGACAAAAAACCATCGGCGAACCATTTTTTTCTTAAGAAATATCGAAGTCAATGCCCGTACGCACGCGAGTGTTAAAGCTAAAAATTATTTTTGCATTGAAAAATATGCAACTTCATTAACTTCCACTACGTACTAAATATCAGTGAAATACCTGAAGCGGTTCTGAAAATATTAATTAATTTCCACTTTCTTTTTTTTTCATGTAGATTTATACCCGTAAATATTTGCATATCATTAAGGAACACCCTGTATATTCAAAATTGCAGTTACGCCCCCTAGCGGCCATTTCAGAAACATGATAATGTTTTCCAGATTTTTTTCTTGATCGTTTCAGTAATGCTTAACGATGGACAGGCTCCCAGGTACAGTATCTTGCATTCTTAATTGGCTACCCTGTACATATCATAATATCTCAATTTCTAAATTCTTCGCGATTACATCCTCGCCAGTTTTGGCGTAAGAAGGACATAGATACCTTTAGTATTTTGTAACTTGTTTGGGGGTGCTACTTAAAACAGAATGAAACGAGATTTAGAGCGTAAGGTATGATTGATAACACTGATCAACAGCCAAAAAATATCCTAAATAAAATCAACAAAATATTACTGTTTTCAATGTGCTAAAACCGGAATGAAACCTATTTTTTCAATATTAGTTCAAGCTTTAGAGATACGGTAATTATATGTGTTCCTGCTGTGACAGTGTTAATATACTGTAATTTATAATAATAAATATAATAAAAAATAAATTCACAAGAATGCACGTGCTACATTTTTATATTCGGCAAGGAAAGATGATGTAATCGGCATGATGTGTTATGTTATACATACGTGTACATTATATTGTTTTATATTAGCCATTTTTTCCTCAGTTGGCTGACAGCGTTCATGCAAGATGACTCGAACGTGTGTAAACAATCCAGATCAGTTTTGTTACGTGTGTGGTGATGTGACTTTTGCGTCTCAGAGACGGTCTATTACTCCACTAATAACAAAGGCATATCAGCTTTATTTCGGTTGTAAACTAGGTGATCAAGACAAACAGTGGGCACCCCAAATCTGCTGTAATACATGTGGTTCAAGTCTGAGGAGCTGGTTAAATCGCAAAAAACGGTCTATGCGCTTTGCTGTCCCAATAGTTTGGAGAGAGCCTACAAATCATATTAATGATTGTTACTTTTGCATGGTACCTTGTGTTGGACAAGCCACAGGTATGTCCAAGAAAAAAAATCGGTTATTAACTACCCAAACATACCATCTGCGATGAGACCTGTGCCTCACAGTGACGAAAATCCTATTCCAAAACCCCCAGAATCCTACACTTGCGAATCAGAAAACGAATCAGATCATGGCGATCGAGTGATTCGTCAGGAAGAAGATATGCCATCAACGTCAAGAGATCCTGATTTTATACCGAGCACGTCATGCCACCAACCGCACAAAATAACACAGTCAGAATTAAATGATCTTGTAAGAGATTTAAAACTTCCAAAATGTAAGGCAGAGTTACTTGGATCAAGACTGCAGCAGTGGAACTTGTTAGAAGACGATGTTTCGGTATGTGTTTTTCGTAAACGCCACAAAGTCTTAGAACCATTTTTCAATATGGAGAATAACTTGGTTTTCTTCAGTAACATTAACGGCTTACTGGCGGCTTTAAATATAAACTATCACCCAGAAGAATGGAGATTGTTTATAGACAGTTCAACATTGAGTTTAAAGGCAGTGTTATTGCATATTGGAAATATTTTACCATCTCTTCCTGTAGGGTATGCAGTTCACATGAAAGAATCATATGACAATATGAAGTACCTATTGACATGCATAAAATACGATGAGCACCAATGGCATATTTGTGGCAATTTGAAAGTTGTTGCACTTTTACTTGGGCTGCAGCTAGGCTACACAAAGTTTTGCTGTTTTTTGTGTGAATGGGACAGTCGGGCAAAGGCACTTCATTACACCAGACAAAACTGTCCTGTTCGTCAATTCCTAGAGCCAGGTCAAAAAAATGTACAGCATATGCCATTAGTAGATTCGAAAAAAATTTTATTACCACCACTGCATATCAAGTTGGGCCTAATGAAAAACTTTGTCAAGGCATTAGATAGAGATGGGTCAGCTTTTCAATACCTGCGTCAGAAATTCCAAGACTAAGTGAGGCAAAGGTTAAAGAAGGTATTTTTGTTGGGCCACAGATTCGAAATATTTTGAAAGATACACAGTTTGAAAACACTTTAACAGGTATTGAATGATTTCCGTCTGGTGGTCACTAATTTCTTGGGAAATAGAAAAGCTGACAACTATAAAACCCTTGTCAAAAATATGCTGTCATCGTATCAAAAGATGGGCTGTAATATGTCTCTTAAGATACATTTCCTACACTCACACCTGGACTTTTTTCCTGACAATTGCGGAGCCGTAAGTGATGAGCACGGCGAACGTTTTCATCGGGATATTTCAACAATGGAAAAAAGGTACCAGGGAA